GAGCAGTATCCTGTTTGCAGATGACATGATTCTACACGTAGGGAACTAAAGGAGTACACTAAGAGACTAAAAAAATAAATTTAAATAAATTTAACCTTTTTGATTCTATCAGCTAGTATTTGCAGACACTAGTCTTGTTTATGTGATCCCTTTGGTTCTTAGTCCTATCATTACGATCAATTGTGAACAGAAATTGATCACTGGGACTAGTGAGATGGCATTGGTACATGCCACCTCGATGGGATTGAATTGGAATCCCCTGGTATGTTTCTAACTCTACTGTTTGAGGTAAGTCAGCTTGAGCATGTCCCGAATTGCACATCTCTTCCCTCTCTTATTCCCACTCTTATATTTAACAGCGATCACTTTTCAGTTAAGTTTCAGCACTTAAGAAGAATTGTGTATTGATTACAGTATTCAACCAAAAGTATTAAGTAGAACAAACAAAAAAAATACTAAGAGGGATAACATATTAAGCTGCTCATCAACAGTCAGGGTGAGGGCTGATCAAGTCACCGTTTCGCATAATATTCATTTCACTTTAACAGGTTTCCTTTTTGGTGCTCAGTTAGTTGTCACCTATCAAGGAGAACAAGTGGTATTTGTCCCTTTGGGATTGGCTTATTTCACTCAACATAATGTTTTCCAAATTCCTAACAGGGATCACTTTTCAGTTAAAATTTAAACACCTAAGAATAATTGTGTGTTAATTACAGAGTTCAACCAATGGTACTAGAACAAAAAAAAACTAAAATGGATAAAGTATTACATTGTACATCAACAGTCAGGACAAGGGCTGATCAAGTCACTGTTTCTCATAGTGTCCATTTCACTTCAACAAGTTTCCCCTTTGGCGACAACTAACTGAGCACCAATCAGGGAGAACATATATTAGCTGATTGAATCAAAAAGGGAGAGAATGATCCAACATGGGAAGTGAGATACACAGCAGACCCATAGAATGGCAAATGTCCTAATAGCACTCTGGCCTCATAATCAGCCCTTAAGACATGCGGATCCGGCTGAAATGCCCATGAGAGTATTTCAGGCATGGAAAGCCAAGACACTCTGGGGGAAAAAAAAACCTAAATGAAAGATCTCCACGAGTGAGATCCCAGTGGAAAGAATGAGTCATCAAAGAAGGAGGTACCTTTCTCTGAAGGGAGGAGAGAACTTCCACTTTGACCATGACCTTGTCTAAAAATTATCAGAGTCAGTGAACTCAGAGGGCTTCCATAGCCTTGGCAACTCATGACAAGAGCCTAGGGTGATTACTGAGGCCATAAACAAGAGTGTCAATTTGTTAAGTCAACATCAGGAGTCACTGTGCACTTACTCCTCATGTAGGATCTTTGTCCTTAGTGTGCTGTACATTGGGATCTAATGCTATAACTAGTACTCAAACAGTATTTTTCACTTTATGTTTCTGTGTGGGAGCAAACTGTTGAAATCTTTACTTAATGTATGCTAAACTGATCTTCTGTATATAAAGAGAATCGAAATGAATCTTGATGTGAATGGAAGGGGAGAGGGAGTGGATAAGGGGAGGGTTGCGGGTTGGAGGGACGTTATGGGGGGGAAGCCATTGTAATCAACATTCTGTACTTTGGAAATTTATATTCATTAAATAAAAGTTAAATAAAAAAGAATAAAAAAATAAATAAATAAATTTAACCGAGGTCAAAGTGCTATACAATGAAAGTTACAAAGCTTTGGAAAAAAAAAAAAAAAAAAAAAAACCAAAGATACGAAAAATGAAAAATCTTCCATATTCATGGACTAGAAGAATTGATATCATCAAAATGTCCCTACTACCAAAAGTACTTATAGATTCCATGTGATCCCAGTCAAAATACCAGCGATATTCTTCACAAATCTACAAAAAACAATGCTAAAATTCATATGGAACCACAAAAGAACCTGAATAGCTAAAGCAATCTTATACAACAAAAAGAAAGAGACATCACAATACCAGATTTCAAAACATACTACAAGGCAGTTATAGATCAAAACGGCCTGGCATTGGCACAATATAGACATGTAGACTAACGGAACAGAACAGACTCCCCAGAATTCAATACACCTTCAACAAACTAAGTTTGACAATGGAGCTACTGTGAATGGGACTGATCTTAGAAGTTCTGTCTCAGTCAAGGCATTGTCTGTGTATACAAAGGCTATTGATTTTGCAACTTTACCAAACTCTCATTTAAAGAAATAATGAATGACTAATTAAAACTGTATATGGGTGAAATGATTTTTCCATACAATTATTGTTTATAGTCATTGTCTGTATTTTCATGAAACTAGGGTCATTTTGCATTTTATTTGTTAAACTTCCTATTTGGTGAAGTATTAACCTTTCTTTTTTTGTTTGGACAGGCAGAGCAGACAGTGAGAGAGACAGAAAGGTCTTCCTTTTCTGTTAGTTCAACCCCCACTGGCCGCTGTGGCCGGTTGTGCTGCGGCTGGCGCACCGCGCTGATCCGAAGCCAGGAGCCAGGTGCTTCTCCTGGTCTCCTATGTGGATGCAGGGCTCAAGCACTTGGGCCTTCCTCTACTGCACTCCCGGGCCACTTTTAAATTTAAAATATTATCTCAAAAACTAAGAAAAAGATAGAAGGAATGAAGGTGGGAGGGAGTATCATTATGTTCCTAGACTTTTATCTATAAAACATAATGAATGTTACAATTTAATTACAATTAAATAAAGATAAAAAAAAAAAACCACCAAAGCAATGTACAATCCACAATGACATAATACCAACCAAATATATAAAACCTAGAACTGAACCAGAACCAGTGAAACCCATCAAACTTCAGCAAAAGCAAATCCACAACCACCTTTTAAGACTGAACACACATTTTAGAACATACGGAATTTCCAAGACAAAACAACTCTAAAGAATAAGTTCACAATTATAAATAAGTTCCCATAAAGAAACAAACTGCTATAAGGGAGAATTAGTAGATCAACACTTTTACCTTAATTATCCTTTAAAAAAATTGAGAATTCTTTATAGTCATGAAAGAGATAAAAGGTATAAAAAACTTATGAGTAATGATACACTAAAAATAAAAACAAGTAGGCAGAAAAAGAACCAACTGAAAACAAAAATATATAGTAACTGAAATAAATTCAATGGCACAGTGCAGAGAATCTGTAATATGTGAGGCAATCACTGAGACATTCTCTCAGATATTCTTGCATGACTGGCTAATTATTTTTTAAATCTAATCTAACCAGTACTGAAAACTGACCGAAGGTAGGAAGCATGACATATTTCTCTTTAACACTGTAGGACACTTAGCATAATAATATCAAGGAAACAAACATTCACATTTTACATAAAAAGTTAATATGTCCAGAAACTGTACTTATGATGAATTCAAATTCTTAGCAGGAAAAGGAGGGGTACTTTAAAAAGTACATTCAAAACTGCTATTGTGAATGACCTCTCGCAAATGTGCAGCTTACTTAACTGCAAAGAAATCTGGTGTAACCAAGCAGAAAAATACTTTGATAAAGCAAGTTATCAAGTTTTACAAAGTAAAAAGAGCTATCAAATCTGCTACTCTTAAAAAAATTTAAGAGGTAAATAGGTGTATGATTGTTTATATTTTTTCTTTAAAAGATTTTATTTATTTATTTGACAGGCAGAGTTACAGACAGAGAGATAGAGAGAAAGGTCTTCCTTCCATTGGTTCACTCCCCAAATGGCCGCAATGGCTGGAGCTTGCACCAATCTGAAGCCAGGAGCCAGGTGCTTCTCCCGGTCTCCCATGGGGTGCAGGGCCCAAGCACTTGGGCCATCCTCCACTGCCCTCCCAGGCCACAGCAGAGAGCTGGATGGGAAGAGGAGCAACCAGGACCAGATCCGGCGCCCATATGGGATGCCAGCGCCACAGGCGGAGGATTAACCTAGTGCACCACAGCTCCAGCCACTGTTTATACTTTTTATAAGGCAGACTCAAAGAAGTGAATTTGACTTCAAAATAGCCCACAACTAAGTGTGTATTTTCCCAATTTAATTAAGTCTATCAAATATAATGATCTCAGAAGTTTCAGTCCTCACCTATTAAAATAGCATCGTTAGGGGCCAGCGCCGTGGCTCACTTGGCTAATCCTCCACCTGCGGCGCCGGCATCCCATATGGGCACCAGGTTCTAGTCCCGGCTGCTCCTCTTCCAGTCTAGCTCTCTGCTGTGGCCTGGGAGGGCAGTGGAGGATGGCCCAGGTGCTTGGGCCCTTGCACCACATGGGAGACCAGGAAGAAGCACCTGGCTCCTGGCTTTGGATAGGCGCAGCTCCAGCCATTGTGGCCATTTGAGGAGTGAACCAATGGAAGGAAGACCTTTCTCTCTCTGTCTTTAACTCTACCTGTCCAAAAAAAAAAAAAAAAAAAAGCATTGTTAGCCCCGAGAAAAGTCTAATTCTCCATATTTAGCCACAATCTGTGAGATAACATACCTGTTTCTCTAAGACAGATGTCCTCTCCATTTCTGCATGCTTTATCATATTTCGCATGTATTCCAATTGTTTTTCCAAAAGATTACATTTATTTTCTGCAGCTAACAACTGAGATGTCAGTTCTAAAAATAGAAAAGTAGCAATCAACTCATGTGTACAGTAGTTTAAAAAAGCTGTTGAGATAAATGTACTGTGTATCAATACAAATACCTTCTAGAAGTCTTTTCAGATTACCTAATCATTCTTTCTACATGCTAGTCAATTCTACCTTGTTTCCAGTCAGTAAACATGCATGGCATCAGAACTTGATCTTCAAAAGGCATACAAAAATAATTCAATTTTGCAGCGCCCAGATACTGGTCATTATAAAACACTCACATGGGATTTTAGAATTTCGATAGTACTTATTTGATAGAATTCAATTTCCTTTGTAATTAAACAAACCTTGATTGTGCTTTGATTCCTCATTCTTTGAATTCTCCCTTTCCTGTATCTGTTCATCCAATACTTTCTTGTACTCAATTGTTTCTTTAGACAAGGTTTTCACACTTTCTTCTGCCTGAATCCTTTCCAGTTCCAAACGTCGAATCTTATCTTGAAGATTCTTCAGAGCAGAAAATATGGCTGCCAGATATAAACGTAATTACTATAAGACAACGATACATATGAAGAAAGTTCACTGAAAAAGAAACCAATCAAAACATAAAAATAAAATATGAGTAGGTGTCCAGAGAAGGATCACTCTTCGGGAAGAATAAAATATTAACTCATAATTTTTTAAAGAATATACTTCAAAACATCTTTTGAATCTCTGAAACATAGTACTCATTCAAGTAAAAAACCCATTACTATGATAAAAACTATAAATGAAAAAATTAGCCAACCACATAAAATTCATGTATCTGTCCCAAAATAAATATTAACTTTTGTTTCATTTATAGCATTACATGTAGAATTCAATTATAGAGTTTAACACAGGCAAGCGCTTAAAAGGGACTGGTTTCTTAGTGTTTTTGATATTTCAGGAAAAAACTACTTATACTTTAAACTAGCCTACTCCAAAGTTATTAATAATAAATATGATATATATTTACTATAGAAAATGTAGAAGACACAGGAAAATACAGTAACTAGTAATTCTACTACCCAGAAATAATGACTATCATTTTTGATTCTTTCAATCGTTTCCTAAAGGTGTAAAAGAAATGAAAGTCAAAATATATTTGTTTTGTTTTCACTTTAACATTGTTAAACAATGTATTCTCTTTTATAATCATGTTGTTTAAAATACTTCGTTGGATTAATAATTTAAAACTTATTGCAAAGCCTCTGCTATTCTGAGAAAACACATCACCTCTGATTATTTTGCATTTCTATTAAAGTTTGAAAGTATTTTTGTATGTATTATTAGTCAATTTTCTCTTTCATGAATTTCCTTTGCCTAGTTTCCTATGGGAAAAAATGCCTCTATTTTTATTATCTGCCTTCAATTCTAGTAGCAGTGTTGACAAATGAAACTTCATGTACATTATGCAATAGGTAGGAAGAGTTGCCATCTTTTAAGAATCAATTCCATTCACTGAACACAAGCCCCATTTTTCCATTTACTAATGCAATGTATTTAGTTCCTAAAATTTTCAGTGCCCTAGCATCAACAGGCTCCCAAGAGGAAGAACAGGAAAGGAGTTTGGATATAAGAAGTATCTGAAGTAACAATTCTCTATGTAATACTATATTCAAATAACAAATATAATCAGAAAAGAGAAAATTAACAAATTAACAAATGTCCCTTATTCTTGAAGTCAGGTATATTTATTAAAATAAGACCAAAGTGCTTGCTTTGGCATCACCTATACTAACACTGTAACACTACAGTGATGATTAGTATAGCCCAAATTCATGAAGCATTACATGTTTCTATATATACAAGGAAAATTAAATCAATCTGTCCAAGAAAAGGAATCAGCATTCCCATATTTACTGCTATACTATCCACAACAGCCACAAAAATGTGAACAATTTAAGCATCTATCAATTAATAAATGGTTAAAAAATGTGGTACATACATAAATGGATTATCATTCAGCCATAAAAAGGATAAAACTTTGTCACGTGCAACAATATGGGATGGAACTGGAGATAAGTGAAGTAGCCAAACACAGAAAGACAAGTACAACACAATTTCATTAATGTGCAGAATCTCAGAAAGTTAATCCCACAAAAGTTGAGAGCAGAATAGTGGTTACCTGAGGCTGAGGAGTACATGAGAGAATGATGGGGTAGTTAACAAATAGGTCCTAAGTTATAGTTTGAAAGTAGTTCTGGTATTCTAATATATGTAAGGTGTCAACAATGATAATGTGTACTTTTTCTTAAAAAAAATGAAGAAAAAACTAGAAGAAAGGATTAGAGTTGTTTTCACCGTAAGAAAATCATTAATGTTCGAGTAGATATGTTTATCCTAATTGGATATTACACATTACACCAGGTATGCATGTATCAAAATATAACAACTTTTGTTAGCAAATGGTGCAGTCTTATCTATGGCACAATCTACACCCTGATACCATCCTAGGCTCTAGCCTCCCCCCCCCCCCCCAACCCCCCCCCCCCGCTAGAAATGTAAATCAAGGACATTGGCAGATGGAAAACATCAAAGTTTAGAAATGTGCGCTTGGTGGGGCCGGCGCCGCGGCTCACTAGGCTAATCCTCCGCCTTGCAGCGCCGGCACACCAGGTTCTAGTCCCGGTCGGGGCGCCGGACTCTGTCCCGGTTGCCCCTCTTCCAGGCCAGCTCTCTGCTATGGCCCGGGAGTGCAGTGGAGGATGGCCCAAGTGCTTGGGCCCTGCACCCCATGGGAGACCAGGAGAAGCACCTGGCTCCTGCCATCGGATCAGCGCAGTGCGCCGGCCGCAGCGCGCCGACCATTGGAGGGTGACCAAGGGCAAAGGAAGACCTTTCTCTCTATCTCTCTCTCTCACTGTCCACTCTGCCTGTCAAAAAAAAGAAATGTGCGCTTGGTAAGAAAGGTTAAGAAGGAAAGAGTGTTCCTGGTAAGCAAGGTTAAGAAGAAAAGAGTTCTTTTAAATAAAGAAAGGACATGGTTTGTAAGAATGACTTCATCCTAATGGCTAGTTACTCTAGAGTGGAATGATAATGACGGAATGTTTCAAGTAACTTGAAGAGGTGTGTGGAAGTCACAGAGGGTTATGAAAGAAAGAAATTTTGGATATAAAGCTATTAATCTATTTCTCTTTGACATAGAATTAGATTCTGATCCTCTATTAAAGCAATGAGTTAAAGTAATCTTATGTTCTCTTGATGTCTCTGTTAAATACTAATTGTTTAAAAACAGCTGAGTTTTTAATTAAGAGCTATGGGTCATTTAAAGATTTGCTTATTCTAAAACATTTTAATAATCACCTTGTAACAATGATCAAATTTGGTTCATATTATGTCATGATGTTAAGGGATCATACTTCAACCAGGTATTTTAAGCCTTCTTGGCATCCTGAAGAGACATTCAAAAAAATCAAAAATCAAAGTTCCAAACAATTTGGACTCTGAAATTCCCAGTAAATTTGGACTTTGGTTTTTCCAGTTTGGGCCCAACTGGAAAAAATCAAAGGATATATGTCTCTCACCTTGTAGACTCCAACTAATCAAGCTATCTGGATTATATGAGAAGTACTGCCAAGATGTGAAGTGGTGCTAAATTTTAAGTTTTTATAATATAAAATGCTACTGATACAAATGTCTGAAAGTACAGAAGTCTAATGATCTGTGCTACTAGACATGACGGTTATTTTAAGAGAAAGCCCTAGAGGCCTAAAAGGGTTAAATGCTTTGTAAAATCCTACAGGTGCTTTCAAAAATACTCTGTGAAGTAAACAAGTGCCTCCTGTTGGTTAATGAATTTATAATTTTAAACATGGCTATTTAGTCTTCTGTCATCCATAGTTTAGTATAGGTTCCGATGGACTTTTTCCAGCCACTTCTATTGTATTTAGTACTTTGAAATGGCTCTGTAAACAGATGAAGCCAATAATGTATTACAGGTACCAACTGAGAGAAAGTATGGTTAACTGAGGTTATTAAGAGTAGAAAGTAATTCGAATCAATTTGGTAATTTACAAAAAACAGTTAAAGAGCTTAAGAAGCCATTAATGAAACTGCTTTATTGTTCTCTTGTACGTTATGTTTTATGTGTATACATACTGTATGTCTACATTGGAAAACTTTATTAAGAACTGTTTTAATTGGCTTACAGATAAAAGATTACTCATCAATTTAAACTGCTAAAATTAATCAGACACATTTTGATTCATGTGACCTGAATCTCTGTATCAGATGTTTTAAATCTGTTGGTAGAAACTAGAAAACATTTTATATGCTTGTGCTTGAATTTGCTGGTTAAACAAGCTATGCCATGTTAGATATTTAAGAGATGTTTCCAGATACATGTATTCTTAAAATTTATGGAAGGCACTGGACCTTCTGGTAAATGTTTCCCCAAGTTGTTATTTAATGGTTGAAATTGTTTGCTAAGTTTTCATTTGATATTGCTATTGTCAGAAAGCAATCTGGGATCTGCTCCCTCATTTCTCTATTCTAAGCCTCACTTTCCCCGCTCATTTCTCTATTCTCTTCAAGGTAGGAAACTAATTCTATTCTGAAGGACTCTCCAAGATGCAAAATTTGATCTTTATATCTTATAAAAGATGGCTTACATTTTCTCTAGTAGCATAGCCGAAATGAAAGCTTAAATTATAATTTCACAGCTAGATTTACTTCGCCATGGGCATAATAAACAGGCAAAATGTCCCTTTCAGACCAAACAAAGGGAGAGAAAGTTTTCAAGTGAGGACACAGCTTTCCTCATGGGCATTGTCTACCTCAAACCACTATCAGAACATGCCTGTGACTATAGACTTCTAGTTTAGGCCACAAAGATTAGAGAAGGGACTTGAGCACCCCTTGACTTGTATCCTCTGGTCTACTTTAACAAAAACCAGGAGGAAAAGAAAGCTAGGCATCAGAAGCAATGTAAAGATAGGTGGCAGACCTATTAAATCCACCAATCCCACCAATTTATCACAGTGTGCTGTACATAAATTACCTTTCATTTTCTTTTTTTAATTAATTATTTATTTTTTTGACAGGCAGAGTGGACAGTGAGAGAGACAGAGAGAAAGGTCTTCCTTTTACCACTGGTTCACCCTCCAATGGCCGGCGCGCTGTGGCCGGCGCACCGCGCTGATCCGATGGCAGGAGCCAGGTGCTTCTCCTGGTCTCCCATGGGGTGCAAGGCCCAAGCACTTGGGCCATCCTCCACTGCACTCCCTGGCCACAGCAGAGAGCTGGCCTGGAAAAGGGGCAACCGGGACAGAATCCGGCGCCCCGACCGGGACTAGAACCCGGTGTGCCGGCGCTGCAAGGTGGAAGATTAGCCTAGTGAGCCGCGGTGCCGGCTGTCATTTTCTATATATACTCTGATAGGCAAAGGTTGTGAAGCACAATTGCTATACAGGTAGTTACGTTGCTTGAAATATCCAAACCAACATTCACATTACTGATATTTGAATATATTCAACAAGTAACGAAACCAATGAGTTACACTACAACTTTTTGGAATGAAGTTGTTCACCATTTTTTAAAGAACTCTAAAAATGTAAATACTGTTTGTGAAGGTAGTAATTTTAAATTTGTTGCTTATTCTTCTTTGAACTAAAGCTCAAAATGAATAAGAATGCAAACTAACAATTTAAGTTATCCATTTTATAGCCTTAAATAAGATTTTCAAGTTAACAATCAGATGGCTTGAATGAGATAATAAGTAATGAAAATCTACAATCATAGCTAAAGGAATTTATGTTTAAGAAAAGTGCTGGCTGGCGCCACGGCTCACTAGACTAATCCTCCGCCTTGTGGCACCGGCACACCGGGTTCTAGTCCCGGTCGGGGCGCCGGATTCTGTCCCGGTTGCCCCTCTTCCAGGCCAGTTCTCTGCTGTGGCCCAGGAGTGCAGTGGAGGATGGCCCAAGTGCTTGGGCCCTGCACCCCATGGGAGACCAGGAGAAGCACCTGGCTCCTGCCATCGGATCAGCGCAGTGCGCCGGCCGCAGCGCGCCGACCATTGGAGGGTGACCAAGGGCAAAGGAAGACCTTTCTCTCTATCTCTCTCTCTCACTGTCCACTCTGCCTGTCAAAAAAAAGAAATGTGCGCTTGGTAAGAAAGGTTAAGAAGGAAAGAGTGTTCCTGGTAAGCAAGGTTAAGAAGAAAAGAGTTCTTTTAAATAAAGAAAGGACATGGTTTGTAAGAATGACTTCATCCTAATGGCTAGTTACTCTAGAGTGGAATGATAATGACGGAATGTTTCAAGTAACTTGAAGAGGTGTGTGGAAGTCACAGAGGGTTATGAAAGAAAGAAATTTTGGATATAAAGCTATTAATCTATTTCTCTTTGACATAGAATTAGATTCTGATCCTCTATTAAAGCAATGAGTTAAAGTAATCTTATGTTCTCTTGATGTCTCTGTTAAATACTAATTGTTTAAAAACAGCTGAGTTTTTAATTAAGAGCTATGGGTCATTTAAAGATTTGCTTATTCTAAAACATTTTAATAATCACCTTGTAACAATGATCAAATTTGGT